TCATGCCACTCACCGGGATACATTTCCCTCTCCCGCTCCGGCCCCTACCCCAGCTCCCTCCCAAGGGTTATAACCCCCCCTCACCCGACCCTCTTTCCAATCCTCCCCACCCTCCCCCCTATTTCCCCCGACCTCTCCCAAACCCCGCCTCCTGCTCGGCCCCCCTGGCCGTACTCACGCTGTACATGGGCGCCCCTTGCTGGTTGGTGGTTTTGACCACACTGGCCACCTTGCTCTTCTCCCACAACCATAGCACCAAGTTATACTCGGGCGCACCGCCCTGGCCGATCAGCATCTTGCCATCGCCGCTGAAAGACAGGCTCACGTACTCCTACAAGGCGGCGGAGGCGTCAGAGAAGGCGCAGGCGGCATCAGCGGAGGGTGTGGTCTAAGCGGTAGGTAATGGTGGTGAGTGACGATCAGTGTAATGCGTGTTGGACGTCTCGGTAGGTGCAGCAAGCGGCACCTCCTAACGTAACCTCGGTAATCGCCCTCCTGGTGCTTTCCAACCCAAATGATTTTTTTTCAATTCGTGACGTGTTTGGTGACGTGGTTCAGGTACGGCAGTGCGGGAGGTACGGAGGACCAGCTGTACCGCAGGACATTTCCCCGGGGCAATGCCCTCCCTCCCTCACATACACACATACAAACGTACAGACACACACCGGCTGCCTGGGTGGCAGCAAGGGGGGTTGGCTGGCCTGGCTATCTGCAAACTGGCTTTACTGCTGTGAAGCTGATGCCGCGGCCGCTGTTGCTCCTGCTGCTGCTGCTACCGCTGGTGTGTAGTTACCGGGGGAGGGAAGGAGAGCCAGCTACTGCTACTGCTACTGCTACTTTTTGCTCCAGCAACTATCCATGTTACCGCTGCTGCGGCGGCCTTTGACCTTCTCAGGGCGCTGTGTGCTGCGGTCCGTGCGGTACTACCCCGTGGATGTATGTATGTGCGTTCGTGGTGTGATGTGGGTCGGGTCGGGTCGGCAGAGGCCGCTCTGCGACTGGCGGCTGGCTACCGATACCGCCCCACCACTACCGGTACCGCCACTACCGTTTCTACACAGCACACAGCAGCTATGCCGCAGCCGCCGCCGCCGCCGCTGCACTCTCAGCGCTGCGAAATGAGGGATCCTGAGACCTTGCCGCTGAGTATGCGGGCACACAATCGGACAGCAACCGCTTTAGCGGGCGTGAGACAGCACCAAGAATACTCCACAGATACGCACCAGCACTTTCTTAGATGGTTTTGCAAAACACGTGTCTCTCACGTCTCCCGACGAGTTTGATGCGAGTGCGAAATTCCCCCCCCCCTCATCCTTTCCGCCAACCCCGGTGGGTGCCGACCCAAGTGGTGTCCACGACGGCGAAACCCACACGCATTCGGGGTCGGAGCCAGTGCGGCATGGAACTTTAGGGGATGAAGCCAAAGGGCTGTCTTCCCCTAAAGGGAAACCCCTGGGGTGGAAGAGATGGGGGTTGGGGGGGAAGGCTGTCCGACGCGGGGGCTCCCGCGGGGGGATGCTTAGCACGCACCGCACGCAGCGTACCTTGGAGCCGGCATCTGAGGAGACGAGCACCTTCCGCCGCTTCAGCGTCTGCATGTCGTAGACGCTAATCATGGCCTTGTCCGAGCGCTCCGCCACGGCCAGCAGCTTTTTGTTGGAGGAGACGCAGAGGGCGGTGATGCCCTCGCTCTCCAGTGTGCCCGGTATGAGGCGCTGGGTGCGCGTGTCGGGTGAGTATAGCACCACATTGTGCCCGGCCGGATACACGACCGAGCCGTCCTCCGCGTAGTGGACATTGTCTTTGACGTCCGCTCGGAAGCCGAAGATGTACCTGCGTGGGGCCCTCGGCGGTCGTTTTGGGGCCGCGGAAGTGCTGACCAGGTCGCGCAACTAATACACGTGACGAAGACAGCCACAGAGTTCAAATGGTCATTCATTATGTGGGCTTCTGTGCCGTAACGGTATGATACATGTTGTGGCAGCTGCGGGTCGACGTGCATGCTATGCAAGGGAACACATGCGTAACCCAAAGCTGAACAGAGAGGAGTTGCACCGTTCAGAAGAACTAAAGAATTATATATTCGCCCTCGTACGCACTTTGGGGCCAGGGTCGACGTCGCCATTTCTGATGCGCGCCCCTGCTTGCCCGGGCCCCGTTTGACTGTTAATTAGTGGATACGCGAGCGTTTAATTCATGATGTAAAAGCCAGCAACTGGCGTCGCTCTTCTGTTAACTATCAGGTTCTGTGTTCTTACGGCAATTAGAAAGTCTGAAACAAAGCTGCCGCCCTATCTTCTACCACAAACAGCATGGGTAACGATCTCTCAAATTGGCGCCAGGCAGACGGCAAGTCCTGCCTCGAAGTTGGAAGGAGTTGACGTACGCTGGTACGGATGTGTTCAGACCCAAATGGTGCCCCGTAACAAGCTTGTGTTTCTTGCTACTTTTGCAAATATTTCACAAGGCAATCGCACATGTGTGATAAAATGTGTCGCACCGTGTGCAGCATAACCCACAAAAAATGTTGAAGGCCCGTCTTGGCGAGGCAGCTTGAAACCTTGGTCTAGTTATTACAACACTCCCGCTATGGTTCTTATGTCAATACACCATAAAAGTACTTCTCCAGTCCTCTGATGGGTAGCGCACGATATCCCCAGACTCTGATCCTTTTCGTAAGGCAGGCGAAAAAAACCAATAAACATGCTGCAATATGTCAATTTTCATAGTATCATGGAATGCTGGTGACGTTTCATGGGGTTGGCAGATCTGGCGTGGCAATTCCTATTCCTACAACCCTCATGCAGATGAGGGATGCAATCAAGCTACGGTGCAAAAACCTCAATATAAAATCGGCAGTTGTACAACCTTCACCTGCGGTGCTTGTTTTATGTTCATTCGGATGAAGAAGTCATGGTGTTATTAAGCAAACAGCATTGCTTTACTCTCTTGTGAACGAGACAGACAATACTTGCAAAGGTTTGCGAGTGTTCAGCGGGCGATGTGTTCATGACAGATATCTCACGTGTGCCGAGGTGGCGTTCCCGTATTCAGCGATCTAAGGAAGCCCCATATATACAATACGCCTTCTGTGTCCCAGTGGGGGCTAGGTTCAAGGACAACTTTTGCACCCCTGCTGTGAGAGAATTTGGGCCGCCGAACGTTTTGCTATCTAGTCAGAAGCGTCAGACCTGCGCCAAAGAACATTCTTTCCGTCTTAAAATAATCTCACATCTTTGACGTCAATCGAGGACAGCGTCAGGTTCACGCTCTTACTTCCCAACATCCGAGGAGGGTTGCAGTAATCGCCGTTTGAGAAGGACGCTCCTCAAGCCTGGAGATCTTCACCGAGCTGCTCTGCTGCGGGCCAGGCATTGGGGGCCCGGTCCCCCAGCATGGAACGCGAGGAGGCCATCAACGCAGTGTCCGGCGCTGTGGCCGGACTTGTCACCGCCGTCTTCGTGTGCCCGCTGGACGTCTTGAAGACCCGACTGCAGGTCGTTCGGCCATAGCGTATCTGCTATTTGACTGCTCGTGCTGCTGCTTTAGCAGCAGCTGCTGCTGCTGCTGCTGTTTTGGCCGCTGCTGCTAATGCTGCGGATAAGCGGACGGGACACAAATGGGGTTGGGGTCGCTATACGTTGAGGAAGCCCCGAGGGCCGCCCTCGGGGTCCTCTTTGATCTTTCCGTCTACCATTCTCCCCTTCAGAATGCTACCTGTGTATTGCCGTACGCCGCCGCCGCGCCATTCCCACTCATCCCCATCGGTGTTGGCAATTGTTTGTATGTTGCGCCTTCCTCGTTGTCAGGCAGTTTTTCCCTCCTGGACCAACCTGAATCGCATGCATTTCCTCGGCCGCCAGGTTGGTCCGTCGCTGTGAGCTCGAATAAGCTTCTCTGGATCGGTGTAATAAATCCCCCCCCACCGCCCGTTTTCGCTTTCGCACACTCCCCCCCCCCACATCCCTGCCGCAAAACCCCCACGCCGCCCCCACGCCGCCTTCAACCGCCCCCACGCCGCACCCCGCGGGTAACGTGCCTCCAACCGCAGGTTACCAAGGCCAGCAGCACCTCCATATCGGGGGGCATTCGCGCCATCATCGCTCATGAAGGGGTGAGAGGACGAGGGTGCTGTCATGAAGGGTTTTGCTCGTTGCGTCCCACCGCCGGTTGAAGCCACCTGGTTACAGCAACCTGTACCGGCCTCCCTGGCGCACGTGTGTTCGGGTGTAGGATGGGGATGCGATCTGGATCTGGATTCGGATTTTGGGTTTCTAAGGTTACGCGGGGGAATTGGGTGTTTGAGGCCCCCTGTGTGTTGGGCGGGGCGGGGCGGGGCGGGGTGTTTCACGTCGCTGTGCGGGTGGTGGCGCTCCGTAACCGCAACGAGCTGCTGCTACTGCTGCTGCTACTGCTGCTGCTGCTTCCTGTTAGGATCTCGTTGTAAAGGACGTGTCGTACACCCGTCGAACCCCCCGATCTCATATGTATCAGATGCGCACTGAGCGGCCGCAAAGCACAACCCCTCACACCCCCGCCACCACCATCACCACCACCAGCCCATGATGCTTACCACACCACCAATACCTACCTACCTACATACATACACGCTAAGCCAGCCAGGCATGGTCAACACATCCCCATATCACCGACAACACATTTCCCTTCACACACACACACACACCAGACGCGAGGGATGTACAAGGGTCTCGGCCCCACGCTGCTGGCTTTGCTGCCAAACTGGGCAGTGTACTTTGTCGTGTACGACAGCCTGAAGCGCCGGCTTGGCGCTGTGACGCCGCCGCAATCAGCGGCGGAGGGTGGCAGCGGCGGCAGCAGCAGCAACAGGAACAGCAGCAGTAGCAGCACCAATGGCGCCGGCGGCGGCGGGACGACAGGCCCACTGACCCACATGGCCGCGGCGGCGGGTGCGGGCGTTACGACGATTTTGGTGACGAACCCGCTTTGGGTGGTTAAAACGCGGATGCAATGTCACGGGATGCTGGCGGCGGCGGCGGCGGCGGCTGCCGCAGCGGAGGTGGGGCCAGCGGTGGCGACGGCGACGACTGCGGCGACGACGACGTCAGCTGCCGCGGCCGCCGCCGTGTTTCCTGCAGCGGCAGTAGCTGCTGCTGGGGCACAGGGAATAGGGCTGGGGTCACCAACATCAACATCATCAACATCAACATCATCAACATCATCATCGGCAGCAGCTGCAGGACCGGGGGTGGCCTCCCACCCCCCTCCCCGTCAGCACCAACATCAACATCATCATCCGCAGGTCCATCAACACCAGCAGCAATCACAACCCAACACGAATCACGCGCACCTCCATTCCCAACAACACCAACACCAACACCCGCACCCGGCCCCCGCATCTCAGCAACACCCTAATCCACATCAGCACCCGACTGCCGCGAAGCCCGCAGCACCAACAGAGGAAAACAGGAGCAGTAGGATAGGCAGTAGCGGTCATTGTAGCAGTAGTAGCGGGGGCAACGCAAGTGCCGGCGGTGGCGGCGGCGGCGGCGGTAGCAGCGACGGCGGGAGGGCGCTAGGACGGAATTTTGGCCCAGGACCGCCGCCACATGGCCGTAGCAGTGATGGCGGCGGCGGTGGTGGTACCGCCGCCAGCACTGCTAAGCCGGCCTTTGCGGCGCCGAAATCCTCTGCGCCTCGCCTCATGATGATGGGCGGGGCCGCGTCCACTGCCGTAGCGCCGTACCTCAGGCGACCGCCGTACAAGAGTACGGCGGAAGCGCTCGTACGGATCGCGCGGGAGGAAGGGCTACGTGGCCTATACAGCGGCCTGGCACCTTCCATGGCGGGGATTGCCCATGTTGCGATTCAGTTTCCGTTGTACGAATACGCGAAACAGGTACGGAGTACGGAGTACGATGTGGTGATGATGACGGGACTTGACAGTCCCGCCGATTACGCACCATCTTTGCGGTCAACCCCCCGCTTGCAGGACAACCTCCTACCCCCCAAATTATCTTTTGTGTTGTCCTTGATAAATGTAAATTCCCCAAAGACATGACAAGTGTATTGTACGACATGGATCCGCAGACAGTCGCCATGCATAAGGCCCAGCAAGCTCAGCAGGCGGCGGCGGCGGGTGGCACCGAGGTGGGCGAGGTGGTTGTCCCTGCAACAGACTGCCTAACGGTTCCGGAGCTGGTTGCCACGTCAGCATTTGCCAAGGTGGTTGCGTCAACGGTCACCTACCCGCACGAGGTGGGCCCTGGGGTTGGGTGGCCGGGGGACCTGGGGGGGGGGGGTTGAACGTGGCGCAGGTTTGGGACGCGGGTTCTTCAGGTTTTAGAGGTCATACACACACCACACGCCATCATCTCTTCCTCCCGCGCGATCATGAAGATTTCTCTCCCACCCCTACCATACCCGCCAACCCGCCACACTTAGCCCTCCCTGTCCCCCGAACTCCTCGTTCGTTACAATTTCCCTTTTCCCCCTCGCATACATACATACATACATATGCACGCACACCCCAGGTTGTTCGGTCGTACATGCACCTCAGCGGCAGTGGCCCCCTCTCCGGCCTGAAGGAGGCCATGGGGGCGGTGTGGCGGGAGGACGGAGTCCGGGGCTTCTACCGGGGCTGCGCAGCCAACCTGGTTCGCACCACCCCGGCAGCGGCCATGACCTTCACCACATTCGAGCTGGTGTCCCGGGCGCTGAGAGAAGCCCTGTAACACGGCACAACCTTCAGTTGACTTGAGTTGACTTGAGTTGACTTGGGTTGACTTGGGTTGACTGGCAGGTGTGGTGTAATGCAGCAGAGGTTTTGGTAATGGCGATGGTAGTGGCAGTGGTGGCAGTGGTGGTGGTGTAAGGATCCCGGGGTATGTATGTTTATCTGTCTGTCTAAATGGGAGAGGAGGGAGAGGAGGGGCAGGCAAGGCGGCTGGTGCGAGTTAGCGGTATCTACGAGCTTGGCGGCGACTGCTGGCGACGGGCGGGGTGGTGGAGGTGGTGGTGGAGGAGGAGGTGGGACATGGTGACGCTGATGATATTGTGGCGGCGGTGGAAAGTGAACTGAAGGGCCGCCACTAGCGGTGCGGGTGGAGAACGAGGCGGCGTTGGTGGCGGCTCGCTTCCCGGGGGAAGTATGTGTAGCTCCCTGTGTGTTAGGAGGAGAGGGGGAGGAGGGCGTGAAAGGGATGCTAGAAAGCGGAGGTAGGTGCTTGTGTCTGTGTGTGCGGGGTGGTGGTGGTAGTGGGGGGGGAGAGGTACAGCTCGGCTACTTGGGTTTGCCCGCGGAGTTGGAGGTGCCCGAACCATTCTTTTAGTGTTTAGTGATTAAAGACATTCACTTTTTCAATACTTGTGTGAACATACTTTTAGCTGTGGAGAACGCAGGCTGCGAAAGGACGGTAAGGGCAGTTGCCGGGGTGTTCCACCACTCGCATGTGCGGGGACCTGCAGACCTGATAATAGCAGGAAGCCCAGGTAGTCTCGCCAAAGGGCCAAAGGGTCAGCTGCCGACGAACGGCCTAGGAAGCCCTCACCAGCTGCTCGAGGAGTTTTCAAAGCACGGCACGGGAAAAAAAGCAAAAGCAAAGAAAAAAGGGGAAAAAAAGGAAGGGGGATTCATTGGGGGAGGAGGGATCAAGTCCACCGCAGGGAAGTGGGGGAAGGCGAGAAGAGGGGGAAGAGGCGTGTGGCTCCGGTGGCGCGGTGGGGAAGAGGAGGGAGAGGGGGAAAGGGTTTCAAGGTCCCGACAGGATTGCGGTGTGCAGTAGGGGTGGGTGGGTGAAACAGAAAAAAAGGGGAAGGATGGGAAAAAGGAGGAGCTTAGATAGGACCTGGGGCCCTGTTGCTGCATAGGGTTGTAATAAGGGGGTTAGCGCACTGGTTGACAGCAAGCAGCCAGCAGCTTTGTTATCGATGTTATAACAGTTCTTCTTCTTCTTCTTTTTCGTAGTCCTTGTTCTTCTCGTCGTTTTAGGTACACCGCTGTTGTGCTGCGGGCTTTGACTGCCTTGCTGGACAATGGGGTTGGGGAGTTATGATGGTAAATAAAAAGGGCCTCTTTTAGCGAGTCTCTCTTTCAGTGCATGTGTCAATTACATAAGTGTCCAATAGTTCTTTTTTTCCTTACGGTAAAGATGGCCACTTGCTTGGCGCACCATCCCTCGCTTGCGTGTGTACGGCGGGTTCATCATTCGTACTCGTCCTGCTGCCCTTTTCCCTTCCCCCCATCAGCCCGGTGGCGCGCGCAGGGGAAAGGGGCTTGGACTTGGGGTTTCTGAAACGGCTCGCTCCGAAGTTACCCCCCACCCCACCCCGATGTACCCAGGCCGCAAGAGTACCGTATCATCTGAGAGTGCACTTGCGAGCTGAAACGATGACGACAATGTCTCTGTTGGACGAGACGGGATGACGGAATTACACCCAACAGTACGAGAGTTACGGCACTGAAGTTGTGTAGTGCTGTACGACTGGCCGGCGCATTGGGGTGTGTGGCTTTGTGGGGAAGATGCTACCTGGGGAAGTAAAAAGCTTGAACGGAAGGTGGTGAGACCGACCTCGACGAGGTTTTGACGTAACTGGTACGAGCGGAAAGAGAGAGAGAGAGAGAAAAAAAGGCGGCGACGCGGAAACGGAAGAAGAGACAAACAGACAGACAAACAGAAACAGACAGACAAACAGACAGACAAACAGACAGACAGACAGACAGACAGTTAGAAGAGACATATAGAGAGGAAAGAGACACAGTTTTGATGAGCCCTATGATGGTATGACGCCCTGTGACATAATAAACAACCGCGAGTATACGAAATTGCCTTAGGTACCGATTGTTGTTGTTGTTCTTGTTGTTGTCAGCCAACGACGTTTATCTAGTATACAAAAAGGGTAAATCCCTTACCGAAACCTCCATCATATACTTCATTTTTTTCTTGACTTTTTTCTTGACTTGTCGAATGTCGAACCGTGTTTGACAACACTTACTTTGGGCGAAGAAAGCTACCGATAGAGCCCAAGACTATCTCCCCTGGTTTTATTTTACCTTTCCTGCTTTCCTCAGTTACTGTGCTGTCTTGTGCTGTCATCCAGAAGTCCTCCGGGGGACGGAGCCAACACTCTAGTAACCTTCCAGTCCTCAGTTCGATTCACCAGCTGGTGAGACCGAGGGCAGCTCCTCAGAGGGGCTGGGAGGGGAAATGTAACGAGATTAGCCTAGATGGCTCTCGAGCCCAGATTTGCCTTTCTGTTCAAGCCCCATATCGAATTGCACCCTGCGCTCTCCGACAGCTCTGCGCCGAAGAAGCAAACTTGTAAAGTCTAGCCGCTCTCTTAAGTCGTAATTACAGCTATCGAACGGAAGGAGTTCATCAAACCACGGGCCGCTGGATGCTATAGACAGATCTTTCGCAAAGTTTAGGCCGAGTACTTATCGATCTTGTTTTTCCTTGTGCAGCAGGCTGCAGCTGTCCAAACACCGTCCGCAACAGTCGGCACTTTGCTGCTCGCGGCACCTGTGTGAGGGTTCTCCGTCTACCGCATATACCGCATATATACACGGTACGCTTGTTCGACGTTCGCCGGGAGGTAGGTTGCGACGGAAGAAGAAGGCGGAGAGAGCGCGAGCGCGAGCGCGAGGAGAGCGAGAGCGAGAGCGAGAGGAAAAGGGCTGCTGCGGCCGCTTTGCTCACGTGAGTCATCCGAATTTGATTAAAGCTCGACCTCAGCACGTATAGCAAGGCATGCATGGTGCGCGTGTGTGTGTGTGTGTGTGTGTGTGCATGCGCATGTGCATATGCGTGTGCTTTTCCACGAGCTGACTGAGCCTTGGTGATATGACAGGTGGTGGGGCAAAACGATTTTATTAAAGATAGGAGTATAATGATGATAATTTTAATTTTAAATCATTATTGTCGATCTGCTGGCTGGCTGGCTGGCTGGCGGGTGGATGGATTCGATGACGACAGGCGCAGCCAGGAGCCGTTTAGGAGCTTGAGACATTTCTCAACGTCGAATATGTACTTGCTGATGCCATCGATTCGTTCCACAGTCCGCACCGCTTCTATAACAAGAAGTGTAACAAGACAGAAAATATTATATCCAATCGAACGGAAAACAAACGAGATGCAAAAGTGTTCCAAGTTTTACACGAGGGTTCGTAAATTAATTACGCACACGCATATGGTACGCGTCCGGCTTACAAACCTCTGATATACACCACACACCCGCTTATCCTCATCCAGTGCTTCCCCCCTCCCTCAACCAACTAAGCCCCACCAGAAGCTACCCACGACAACGCCGTGGAGGTCCTCCATGGGCAACCTGGTCAGCGCTTTCGAGTCGTACGAGACCACCCCTGGACTGATTGACCGTGAAACAGGGCAGCCCACAACCGAGCCGGTGAGTGAGGGGGTAATGGGGGGGGCGTGGGCCCCGTGTGTGTGTGTATGTGTGTTTTGATGACCTCAGCCTCCATGAGGTAGGTGCCGTTGGCAGTACTAGAATAACTTCATACCCAAGCGAGCTCTTCCGTAATTCAGCGATGTGTCGATCCGGTGTCGATTTGGTGCTGACAGATTTTCAACATATGAAGAGAAGCCCGTAGAAACAAGCGGCGCTGCAGTGGCGATGACGACTGGGTGGTGGGCGACTAGCACTGGCTAGAACTGGCTACAGATAGCGCGCGAGTGGGGATACCTGACGTCCAAACCAGATAAACAGATAGACCCAACCAGATCGAACTAACAACTGTTTTCCCATCCTTACTAGATATAGCTTACAAAGCAGAGGGTCATGCTACACAGCGCGTGTGATGCAATAACAAGCAGGATGATCCCCCCCACACGGGGGCACAACAACAACCCTTCCCGTGAAAGCAGGATGATGTTGACTGACCTGGATGTGTATGTGTGTATGTATGTGTGTATGTATGTGTGTATGTGTGTGGTCTTATGATTTTGTGTGTGTGGCGGCTGCATGCGTACGTGCGTGACGGTATGCTAGCACCACGGGTATTGGTGGCGGCTGTTTTGATCGTTCTTTGTTAGTTAACGCCCCTTTACTCTCTACCCCCGCGTTTTTCCCTCCTCCTCCTCCTCCTCCTCCCCCGCGCACTACATCTCCTGACATCCCTCTCGTCCGTCCGTCCGTCCGTCCGTCCGTCCATCGGCCCCCGCCCTGCTGGCTGCCGCTATCCCAGATGCCCCTCATTCGCGCAGTCCGTATGTGGCTGTTGTACCAGACCCTCCCCGGCCGCGTCTTCCTGTCCCTCCCGCCCACTTGGTGGGCCATCGGCTGGCAGCACAAGAGCATCGCGGCACACGCCAACAGCCCAAACAGCAAAAAGGACATCCCGCAGCTTATAAAGGTGTGTGCGTGTGTTTATATGTATGCATGTATGTGTGTATGTATGTGGAGGTGGGGAAGGGTGCTGGTGTATGCGTGTGGAGGGGGGAAGCCGTGGGAGGAAGAGGAGAGAAGTGGTGGAGGGGGGGAAGGGGTTTGTGGGAAGAGCGCACACGTGTGTGTGTATATGTGTGTGTATATGTGTGTGTATATGTGTGTATGTGTATGTGTATGTGTGTATGTGTGTATGTGTCTGTATATGTGTGTATGTGTGTATATGTGTGTATATGTGTGTATGTGTATGTGTGTATATATGTGTGTATATGTGTGTGTATGTGTGTATGTGTGTGTATGTGTGTATGTGTGTATATGTGTGTGTATGTATGTGTATGTGTGTGTGGCGGCGGAGGTGCGGGTTATGGCGGTACGGAGTGCATGTCTGGGGTTTGTTGATCTGGATCAGAGATGCGATCCCCAGTCGAACACTGGGGGAGGGGCGTCAGACGATGGACGGTGAATAATCAATGGGCTGCCGGCGCGAGGCACTCGAGACACGCGTGGAGGCAGCGAGAGACGAAGCAAGGCGAATGGGCTCTGTGTTAGACTCCCGTTCCCACCCGGCCCTCCCCCTAGGCCTACAAGATAGCGGTGGAGGACGCTGAGAAGCCACCGGAGCAGTACGATACACTTCAGGAGTTCTTCGCGCGACGCCTGAAACCGGGACTCCGACCCATACACAGCCTGCGGTGAGTTAGTGGGGTAGAGGGAAATGGTGGGAAATGGGGGGGGGGGGCGGGGAGGTTGGGGAATTTGGGTTGTGTGTGGGAGGTGTATGTGTGTGTGTATGGAGGGGAGGGCCGGGGAAAGAGGGGGATTGGGCGGGTGGGTTGTGTTTCCTATCCAGTGCACCCCGTAAAACACATCTGTCCTAAGCACCCTCCAATCCATCCCTCCACCCGGCCCCACATACACATGTACAGATACACGCTGATTCCCCCCCTCCTCCTCCTCACCCCCCCCTTCAGCGACTCCACCATCGCAGTGATGCCCGCTGACTCCCGTTGTGTGGTGTACGTCGACGTGGACCGCGCACGGAGGTTCTGGATCAAGGGCCGCAATTTCAACGTGGCGGCGCTGCTGGGGCGGCCGCAGCTGAAGAGCGCCACTATTTGGGACGACTGCGCCATCGCCATCAACCGGTGCGCGGCTCCCCCGTGCGTGCGTGTGCGTATGTGTGTATGTATGTGTATGTGTATGTGTATGTCAATGTATGTGTTATGTAAATGTATGTGTATGTTGTCATGGCGATTACTGCAAAGTGCAGCACTTTATGTTGCGGAGAATGGTGCCGTACGGCGTATGCGACCGCGGGTTGGGGGGAAGTGTAGTAGAAGGGGAGGCGGGGAAGGAGGTCAAGCCGTCGACATGCGTCTATGTGTTTGTCTGTGTGTTTGTCTGTGTGTTTGTCTGTATGTTTGTCTGTGTGTTTGTCTGTGTGTTTGTCTATGTGTTTGTCTGTGTGTTTGTCTGTGTGTTTGTCTGTGTGTTTGTCTGTGTGTTTGTCTGTGTGTTTGTCTGTGTGTTTGTCTGTGTGTTTGTCTGTGTGTTTGTCTGTGTGTTTGTCTGTGTGTTTGTCTGTGTGTTTGTCTGTGTGTTTGTCTGTGTGTTTGTCTGTGTGTTTGTCTGTGTGTTTGTCTGTGTGTTTGTCTGTGTGTTTGTCTGTGTGTTTGTCTGTGTGTTTGTCTGTGTGTTTGTCTGTGTGTTTGTCTGTGTGTTTGTCTGTGTGCTCATGTCTGTGTGCTTTTGTCTGGGCATGCATAATGTGTGGGATGGTGATAATGCAGCATATGTAGCCTATTTAGGAGCTCCACAGGGGTCCTGGGAGGCGCCTGCATGGCTGTCTGCCTGGGTGGGAGAGGGGCTCCCCCACCTTCCCCTCCACCATAGCGCCGCACCAAACCTAACCCGCCATCTCCCCCATCTCCCCCCTGCTACCCGTTAACTTCTTTCTCTTTCCCCGTGCTTTCACCGGGTCTCGCCTCCATCGAACACACATACACACATACACATACACACATACACACACGCACGCACTAGGGCCTTGCAACTACCACCCCTTACTACACATCACATTCCGCCTACCCCACCTGCCAACTCCTTACCCCTTTTTCCCCGCGCCACATACATACACAAATACACACACACGCCCCAGCCTCTCCCCAACGGACTGCCACCGGCTGCACGCGTCTGTTGGGGGCCGGGTGGTGCGTGTCGAAACACACGGTCACGAGTTCATGGGCAGTGAGTGGGCGGCCACCCACAGCTCCGTCAACGTGATGACAGAGAATGAGCGGCTGGTAATGGAGTTTGAGAGTGAGGAGTTCGGACCGGTGGTGCAGGTACGCGTAGGGTACGCGCGTGTGTGTTTGCGGCTAAGGATGGGGTAGGAGAGGGGAGAGGGGAGAGGCGAGAGGGGAGAGGAGGGGGAAAGAGAGAGGGGTGGAGGGGGATGGGTGGGCAGGGGTTTTGGGAATGTACGCGGAGTTTATAAACCACGCTAAGGGAGTGGTTCCAAGGGAATTGCTCGAGGGGAACAGCACTTACACACATACGTACATACATACACATATACACACCTGTGTTGGTCTAAAGAGGAGAAGAATGTTTCTCCATAGCAAGCACCACATCACTATCTTAGATAATCTTAGGGTACATCATAGCAAAAAAGTAGAAATATGGGTTCAGAAGCATAAAAAGAAAAAATCTTTATTTTTTCTGCCTCCATATAATCCCCAACATAATCCAGATGAGTATTTAAACAACGATTTGAAAAAAATGATTTTTTTAGGTAATATATCTTGTTAATACTTGTTGCCGGATTAGCTCAGTGGTAGAGCAACCTTTCTTTGGGGAATGGTTGGTACACCGACCGTATGCACCATGAACACCCGTACGCCGCGATTAGTCGAGGTCCCAATCCTTCCCGCCCTTCCCATTTTTCGCATTTCCGCATCTCTCGCATGCTCGCATTTTTGCCTTCCTGCAAAACTTTTCCACATCAGTATAATAAATTTTAAATTTCGTCGCACTTCGCGTGCAATAATATTCTTCTAAATCCGCCCCCATTCTTCATGCCACGAAGCCGTTCGTTATTGTTTGCTCGCCCCCCAAAATCCCCTTTCCCCCGCTCTCACACGACGCAACGCAACGCAAAACACAAAACACCACGCATCACACGCCCACATCCGCACATCCGCATCCATACGCACATTCAAACACACGCCCGCGGCTGATCAGGTCATGATCGGCGCCAGTGAGGTGGGCAGTGTGCAGGCCCTGGTGAAGCCGGGGGCGTGGGTCACCAAGGGAGATGAGGTGGCCTTGTTTGCATACGGAGGATCTCTAATGGCGACGCTGTTCGTGGCCGGCACCATTAAGTTTGACGAGGACCTGCGACGTCATACGGCATCTGGGTACGAAACGCTCGTCAAGTACGGAAGCTCGCTGGGCAAGTCGACCGGCGGCTGGCAGCGCCGGATAGCACCCGCTGAATCGACGGCGGCGGCGGAGGCGGAGAAGCAGGATGGATGAATAAATATTTGCTCAATTGATTATGGGTTGGTACTGGGGATCTGTTTAAGTAGCTACTAGGCGGTAGCTTGGCGGCTGGCGTGTGACAGTAATGTGGTTGATGGCAGTCGTCATGGCCCGTGCGAGGCAAGGTCCTAAGAGACCAAAAGGAGGCAATAAGATGACTGTTGTTTCATTCACTCGGGGAACGACTTGGTCATGGACGGGTTTTCCAGTCATGGATCCGGTCAAACATATGTTTTGCTGTACTGGACGTATCCACACTTTTACTTGGTATAAAAAGCTGAGCTACGGTGAAGCCTGCTGATCGGACGTTGTTGGACGATTTAGCATGGGCGCATGGCTGGGAGGGAGCGGCGTGATGACGTCGTCGTCAACGCTTGTATCTTTGCTGCATCTGGGAGGTTTTAAGTGCATGCCTTGGTTACTGTACACAGTAATAGAGGGAGCCAAAAGTGCAGACTTGTCATGTTTGACGCCTTGGCTCGGCGGATATCCATGTTGTCACGGCGTTGATACATAAGTTGCGTGTTGGATTGTCGTTGCGGTTTGGGCCGTGTCCAGTAATGGTGGGAGACGTTCGCTGCAAGCACGTATGATACGTTTGAAAGCCTCTGATGAGGCTTTCAAGTACATCCGTTGGCCCGGTTATAATCGTTGCCCGGTACTGGGGACCTGAAACTTGCAAACACTGTCCTGAAGTCCATGATTCGGGGCAAGACGGATGCCATGTCCTGCAAGGCCCCCGAACGTTCACGAGCCTTCGGGTTGGTCTGAACTGTTCGAACCGTTAGAACCGTTAGGACTGTCTGAACCGTACAGCTCTCTGGAGGTTGTAACTCTACTTGTAACATCCATCCATCCATCCCCCAACGTGTACGGCCCTAAGGAGCCAAGAAGCCCATGAGCTTATGGTGACGCCAGGTGCCAGCTTAGTGTCATGCTACTGGCAACGGTTGGCGTGGGACAGCATTCCCTAGGGCACAAAATGCAATTGTTGTCCCTTTAAAGCCTATACTACTACTAGTAGTAATATATGGGATGTTATTCTTGTTACTGTTGTTATTGTTTTTGGTTTTGAAACCCATATGTCCATAAATTCTGCAATTCATTTGCACGGAACGATTTTAAGTGATGTAGCAGAATGTATAGAATCAAGAGAATAACTGCATGCTTTTTGTTATGCATGTTTGACGCTCTTGTCTTTTTGATTCCTGACAACTGTACAAGAGCTGGGTCTCGGAGCGTTGCAAATTACATAATCGGCCCTCTTCATACTGCACTTAGCTGTAATTACTTTAACACTTTAACACTTTGCCTTAGTTACTTTAACATATGCTATGTGCATGGACACATTGTAATCCAGTTCGTCGAAGTGTTATTTATGCCTGAACGGAGAAAATGCCTCCAGCGGAATCACAGGTTGCAACATATCAAGACGGAAAAGACGATAGTGCTCGAGATAGCCCTATAGGCGACAACCAAACGCTCCCGGGTCATGGTAGCCCTATTACAAGTCAGGATGTTGAGGTCGGGCAGGTTCCACCCCGCGGCAAGACATCTGCTGACGGCCAAGCAGCTACAGCAAATGGCGCACTTGCTGGCCAAGGAACAGGAGGCGATTTTGGCCCGTCGCTTGTTGCGATATCAAACATCGCGGGGCTTCCGGAGGCGGATGGGTTGCCAGTGCGCGGGGGTTCGCTAAAGGCTGGACGATCGTCAAGCTTTCAGTGGTCGAAACAGCGCCTTCCCGCGCCGGGGACAGCACATGTGTTCAAGCAAGCCCCGCAACATGAAGAGCACCACGAGACTGCAGCTGCCGTTCTTCTTAATCCAAAGCAAACTTATGATCATATTGTGGCAACCGGTGAGCAGACGCTTTGCATGAAGGCGCGGCGTAAGTCTACCGAGAGGACATAAGTCGATGACAGATGCACAGCTTGGACAGGCGCCAACGTTGACTTCGCAAATTCCCTTTTTTTCGCATCACGTTTCATGATGTGTCCGACCCGAGGCTCTTTGCAAATAGAGTCTCGGAACTGCCTTTTCCTCACGTTTTGATGATTACCGCCGCACCGCCGCTTTCCGTCACAGGCGTGGCCAAGACCCAGCTCACACTTGCAAAGCAGGTAAGCACACGTCTCCAAAGTGCGAACTATCATTTGAACCTGATGTCAACGTGTTGCATTAATCTGACTTTGTAACACTCAACCATGGGCCGCTCCCGAAACACTCCCAAAGACCTGTTCCCCATAGCCCGAATGTGAGATGGCCTATGCCCTCTGCATTGCCCGTTAACATAAAAAAAACGGTTACACAGACGTTCTTTCGTACACACGTGCTTAACACACACACACAGGTAACCCAGGGCGTGTTGGCGGGCTTCTACATCTCCTTCTCCTTCATGCTGTGCATGACGGTTGGTGGACAGGTGAGCTAGACGCTGGGGCGAAAAAGCGGCGTAGTACGGCATAGTGAACTTGTACGGGCAAATTGTGTTGTGGGGCATTATGCCGGCGCATGGGGTGTGTGTTACCTGAGGGACGGGGGTAGCCGAGAATGTGCACTTGAGTTTGTGCGTGTTTTGGTACGTGATGTAACTCACAGGACAGGATTACAAAGGAAGGGAAATAAGAGGCGTGTTTGTACAAGTTTTCATAGGATTTGAACTACGGATTGCGTCTTGCTACTAACCTATCTCTCCCTACCTCCCATTCCCCCTTTTTCCGTACAGATCAGCACCATTCAGCATGAGCATCCGGGAATATACAACCTCATTTTGGGTTCGGTGGGCTTCCCCCTGGGCCTTACGATCATTATGGTATGTATGTACGGCACACGGGGAGCGTGTGTGTACGTTGGGAAAGGGCTCTTTACGGCACGGCGTGTGTGTGTGCTTTGGAGCGGGGTGGTGGTGGGAGGACGTGGGAGGAGATCCGGGGGGGGAAAAGACGAACCACACACGATTGAAGCTGCTGCCAGGGCAAGAGAGTATCAAACGTAGAACTGACCGAAAGGCGTCCTTGGAGACCGTGACCTCGGGATGAAGAAGTGAAGAGGATGTCGGAAAGACTACCTACCTACGCCGCCAGGACTAAAAAAGAAGAAATAGTATTGCCAAGCCGTAAAGAAGTAGGTGTAGAAAAGTAGGTGTAAAGGCGGCGGAAAACATATATCCGGGGGGGGAGGATAGAGGCTTGCGATTGAAAGAGTGGGCGGGGTGCCGTGTTCTTTCTGTGGGTGTGGTGGTGAGAGGGTTAACGGGCGTGTGGGTTTGGGGTTGTGCGATGTATGTATGTATGTCTTTTGCTTTACCGCTTCCTGCAAGCGCTTCAGTCCCCAACACAGGAAGAGATTTAAGAGATCTTCTTCCTGTTTAACTCCTTTCCCGCCTTCTTCCCGGCCATGTGCATGCGTGTGTATATGCATATATCGTACAAATGTACGAATAAACGTACTTTCGTATTTGTCCCAGGTGGCGGGCGCGGACCTTTTCACCAGCTCATGCATGTACATGATAACGGCTTGGCTGGAGGGCAGGGTGGCCTCGTATTACGTGCTCAAGGTAGGCGGGGGGGAGACGAACCACGAGGGGAGGTGGGGGAAGGGTTTTAGGGTTGGGGAGGGAGGCGCGGGATAAGGCGAACCACATACACATACGAGGGGAGTTAAGCGGCAGCAGCTGACACCGGGATAGGGTAGAAGTAGGGTAGACGTAGGATACTCCAGGGGGGGTGAGGACCTGAGGAAGTAGGGGGGTTACGAACCAGTCGCGACTTGGGTTTTAAGTAGTCACACACCACGTAGCACTTGCACACCTGCATACATACATACATACATACATACATACATACATACATACATAAGTACCCCTCTGCCCTTTCCCCCAACATGCTAACCCCAACTACTGCCACTGCTACTGCTACTGCTGCTTCGCTCCTTTCGCACATCCTCTCATCATTGCCGTGTGTGCGGCGGTGCGGCGACTGTCCTTGCACAATGTATGTATGTAGGTAGGTAGGTCTGGAGTTGCTCAGTTGTACCACTGCTTTCTCCACGTTTTGCTTTTCCCGAGGTTGAGGTACCGGGTACAACCCGCATCCACTGCTGCTCGAGTTAGTGACAAATTCAGACTTAGGCTTACCACCACCACCACCGCCACCACTGGGACCTCGAAGGACAATCTTAAGGGACCCTAAGACCTGAAAATGACGAGACACAACAATGTCGGGTCGGCAACGTAATGGGTCTTTACTTCTGGAAGCATGAGTCGATATGGCTTCATCGCTCAGGACTCACTCACTCCCGAGGGGCAGTTTCGGGCTTTAGACGCCTTCCGGCAGTCAGGCAGTTGATTGCATCTTGTTTCCCCGCCGCCACCTTGGCCGCCGCCTTGGCCGCCCCGCTAAACAAACTCCTCCCTGCACTACATCCCTCTCCCTCCCTCTTTCCCCTTTCTCACCACATCCCCCCCCTCCACCCGATCTGGTACACTCTTGCCCTGGCAGCAGCTTCACTCGTTCGTGGTTCCTCTTTCCCCCTCCCCCCGGCCCCGTCGCTTTGTGTTTTCCTTTCTTAAGCGTTTCCTTTTCCTTAAATTTCCCTTTTCAGTCAAGATTTCAAATCAGCCAGCCAGCTACTACTATTCCTCAGCAGCATTTGCATGTCCCCTTGTCCTTTATCGCACCCGCCTCACCTCTTTGTTACCCTTTTGTTTTTGCATGTGCCTTTTGCCACTACTTCGGCGGCCTGGCCAGGTGAGTCCAAAAGGTGGTTCGAGCTTCTTTGGTATTTCGCGTTGGCGTCGGTAGGCTAGCCGGAATAGTTTAGTTTGGGTCGGTCGGGTCAGTCGCGCGTTCTAGTTTTTTTTGGGGGTTGGGAGGAGCACTTGCATACCGGCAGCCTTTCAGTATCAGCAATGCAGCTTTCTCTCCTGGCCAGCAACTTTACGCCACTTTTACGTCAGCACTATTTTTCTCGCCGCCTTCACTACTTTACCTACACCTACTAGTTTACGGTTTGGCTATACTATTCAGCCTTTTTTTCTGGCGGCTTAGGTAGGTAGGACTTCCAACATCTACGTCAATTCTTCATCCCGAGGTTATAGTCGTCATCCCGAGGTTACAGTCGTCACAGTCGCCACGGACGCCTTTCGGTCAGTTCTTTCGGTTGCTACTATCTTGCCCTGGCAGCAGCTTCACTCGTTCGTGGTTCCTCTTTCCCCCTCCCCCCGGCCCCGCCACACCCCCCCCAGAACTGGCTGGTGTCGTGGTGGTCCAACCTGGCAGGCTGCCTCATCATGGCGAAGCTGGTGGTGTGGGCGGGGCTGTTTGCCCCCCCGAAGAACGCATTCCCCATCTACCTGGCGATGAAGAAGACCAGTGCCACGTTTGGTGCCACCGTGGTCAAGGTGGGGAAGGGCGGGGGAGAGGAAAGGGGTTCAGGAGGCGGTGCTTCGGGCGTGAGTATGTACCACACCCGCGTATGCATGTATGTCGTCCTGCTCCCAAGTCCTCCTTTCTTTACCTTCCCTCCCTCCCCACACACCCCCCTCATCTGGGGGCCCTATGGGCTGCAGGGCATCATTTGCAATTGGCTGGTGAATTTGGCAGTTTGGATGGCTAACAGTGCCAGAGACTTGACAGGTGGGTTGAGGCTCGTGTGTATGTATGTGCGAGTATGTGAGTATGTACGTATGTGTATATATATGTGCGCGCCTACAGCGACTACAGCTATTTTCCCCATTCCCCCCTTGGGGGGAGCAGGAGAGGTCGGGAAAACACACACGACCACCTTTCCCCGCAGTTCCCACCCCCCCCCTTCTCCCCCCCCTCGTGCAGGCAAGGCGGTTGGTGTGTACCTGCCCGTGTCGGCCTTCGTCACGCTGGGTACGGAACACGTCATCGCAAATCAGGTGCGTGCACTTGTGTTGGGTGTATATGCATGTATGCATGTATGCATGTATGCATAATTGTATATGTATACATATATACACTGGGATGGCGTTATGACAAAAACGCACATCTTGAGGAGGAGCAATGCAGCACACCTCGAAAAAAGGTTCTGTATGGGATGACTTTGCCGCCCATTATTCAAAAGGAGGGAAGTAGCCGGACGGGCCCCCCAAGACGCCGCCCGCACAAGGTGTTGGTGGGGCTGGTGATGGCCTGCTGGGGAGTGTTGTGGGGAAGGCTGTGCTTTGGGATGGGCTGGTTTGCTGTGAACGTTTTTTTGTTGTATGCCATGCCATGCCATGCAACCAAAAAAATCAAAAAACCGTTGAACAGAAAAGACGGACTGCAACATGGAAATCATCATGAAAAAACCCAAAGCGTATTTCGACAAGGAAAATGCAAGTTGTTTTTGGTGACCAAGTCGCTGTCAAAAGTCCTTTCCTTCACCGCCTTTTTTTGTGCCTGTCATTAATTGATGACCTAAAAGTGATTCTTTTTTGCCTGAGTGCCGTACTGATGCCGTATTTTTACTCGCCCGAACGACACCGACACCAGTTTGAGTTGTCCCTCGCCAAGATGCTGGGCAGCGGCATGTCGCTGCACACCATCATAGGGAGCAACTGGGTCCCGGCCACCATCGGCAATATAATTGGAGGAGCCTTCTTCGTCGGGACACTCTACGCTGGTGGGTTGTAGCCGGGTGGAGTGGAGATATTGCTGTGTGGACATGGGTGGGTGGCTAACATGTGGGCAGATGGGTTTCACATGCGGTGGTCTGTCGTGAAAGGCTAGCACTGCTCAAGGTTATGCATTGTGGCATTGTAGAGAAGGCGGGAGGGGGGGGGAAGATGGGGGGGAGACGGGGGGGCCAGGGCAATACACAGGGGGGGGTAACTCCGACACGCCCATGGCGGCACTACCCCACCTGTTGTCACACGGTGTCATCCAATCCACCAACTCGTTACCCGTCCCGGTATTTCCCCACCTTATTCCCCTGTCTCCAGCTACGTACGGCACCTTGTACGAACGTATGTGGCTCCGTACAACCCAGCTGTACATTTGGATGGTGCCCAGGCGGTTACGTGATCGCATCACAGATATGTACGACGCAGTGTATGACAGATTGTTCGGTTGGATTGACTGGGAGGCCTTGACGGCGCCGCCACAGCCGCTGTCGGCGGGGACTGGGGGGGCGGCGCCGCCGCCGCCGCGTCCGCCAGTGTCCCAACGCAGCTTGACTCGCGCTCTGTCGTCGACGTTGGCGGAGACACCGCGGCGATTGGTGACGGCGGCAGTGGCGGCGACCCGAAATCCGCCGTTGACGCCATTTGAGCGCAAGCGCACAAGCGCGGGCTTGGGCTCTGATGTGGTTTAAGTAGAGAGGGAAGGGGGAAGGGGAGGAAGGGGTGGCGGAAGGGGAGGTGGAAGAGGAAGGGGAGGGTAAGACGCAGCACAGAGGGTGAGAAGGATAGGGAGGGGGAGGGTGGAGAACAGCGTTTGTGTGGGAGGGAAAGATGTTATGTTAGTATGACATCAGTGGTTGGATCGGTAGTTTAATCTAGGTAATAATATGTTTCTGGTGGGGTAGGTAAAAGAGGGGGTCGGCATGTGGGGGTGGTCCACCGCGGGAGACGTCGATGATCAGCAGCGCAGAAGCATGTCTTCTGCCAAGGACTGCTATGTACGGCGCAAATACGGCAGTAAATAAAATCTCGTGCGAAAGAGACATGGTTGACGTCTTGCAAACATCTGTCACCTTGTTGTCATCTGTAGTTGTTTGTTGTTTGAGGATACCGTGTTGCCCAACTGCATGTGGACGTGGCATCTGTACGCTTGCATTGAGCTCGGCCCTGTGTGCCCTCGCCTGTGTTTGTTGTTTGTGCATAGCGTACGGGGCATAAGAGTAAGTTGCCGTACTGCCGTGCGTGAGGGCCTTATCAAAGGATAATTAACTAGGGTCAAAGAAACGTACATATCTATTCTTTTTGAATATTTTAGGTGAACCTTAAGTAATGCGGTTTGAAGAAGACCTGCTCAAGGAATAAAACAGGATCTGTACGGCGAGAGGTACATCTGTACGGTTGAAGTCTGTTGCACAGTCGTCTTGACCACTCTGTCGACGCAATGTGGGAAATGTTTCTTTTTTCTTCATTAGTTGTGTAAGTGCAGTGGTGGTAGGGCATAAGCTTTTAAGCTCGGCCCTCCATTTCGTTCGGCGGTTTCAGATGGCGGCTATTTCCAGTTGTAGAAACAAAACGTTTTGTCGCGATGTGTACTTTTGTCGTTTTCGTTTTACAAAGTGCAAAGTACATATTTATCCTTGTAACCCAGGTTGCTGCTATATATTTTTAACACAGAAACGCGTCAGTGTATTTATTTATTGGTGTGTTTATCCCTCCCATGATGCTGACCTCGTACTGGTATGTAGACACAGAGGTTTACATGGGGATGACACTTCACAGAACTAGTTGCAATCTCGCATCCCAGCTTATGTCCCCCAGAAGAAGAGCCAAGTACGGAGGTGCAAAAACCTTCTAAGGAGGGGGGCACAGCGGGGTTTTCTGAGTGTTGTTCACAGCAGGCTGCTGCTGCTGCTGCGATGGTGAAGACATCATTTTTAAGATGCAGTTGGGTTGGCAAAGCGCGCGTGTACGGACACAACCAGCAGTGTACGAAACCATCTCAAAAACAGGTTTCAAACCAAACTTGAAGTTGACCCCGCCTTCGACTGCGGGATAGACTTTTACCTGGAATGCGGTACCGAGCTGCAAGTAAAAATAATGACAGCGACACAACAACAGCTCGCTGCGGCGGCGGCGGTTGCGGCGGCTGCTCGTCGCCGGCACAGCGGTGTAAGACGTTTCACCGCTACGTGCTATGCTTGTCCATATGCCATATGATAGAGTATGCTTGGTGCGCATTGAAACATACATCTTGCGATTCGCGTGCAATCAAGGAAGCACATGAAAAAACTCCTTTTTAGGAAAATGTACTTCAGCGACCTGCACGGGAATAACGCCATACGTTTGTAACTACTATTAGTACAGCTCGGAGGGGAACGCAAATTATACAAACGGTGCCCTTACAAGATTAACTTACTTGCTTAAAACTATATGTGTACTGCGCGGTGTCACAGCTTACTTTAAATAGCGCGCACCGAAGTAACGAACCCGCAACGGCTCCCCAACCGCCAATCGACTCGCCCTGTCGACCCACGATTGCAATACTGGGCTCATTTTTTCCCGTGTTCGGTTTCATGAAATACAGAAAGTTTTTTAACGTTAAGATGATTGTTACGTGCATGTGCTGCAGACTTGCGCGATAAGCTCGGTTGTGCGATAGTTACGAGCGTGCGCGAAGCTATGTGAGGAGATGGGCGGTCCAGCTGTGCCCTAAAGCACTCGTTATAAATGCCTGAGATGTGGATCCATTTAAACTGACGACGCCTGCGGCCGGGAACGAATGAAACGAATGAAACTCCGCATCTTTCGACTCGTCGTATTTTTATTGGTTATCCGAAACGGTTACCTTATTCGCTTGCCTGCTGCGTGCTGTTGTCGCAGCCGATAAAAGAATAACGAAATCAAACCATTTATTAACGACATGTCCTTTTATCGAGAAGTCGCTAAAGTTAGGCATCGCTGTAACGTTAAGGGAATTCCGCCCTCCTGTACCTCCTTAAGCTTGTCAATCGAGACAAAAGTCCACGTCAGGTAATTTTTATGTTTCAGTACAAAAACGATACGCCGCAAATTTTATCGAGCAGAAATGCAGTGCGCCATAGCATTTTGTGACAAGGGCGGAAATGTATGTCATATATTATAAATATACCAGTGTGGTTTGGAGACACTACTGCAACTTGCGGTTTAAGGACAAAAGTTCGATACCTGGATAGACTCCCGACATTGTCGGGAAGCGGTGAGATTATGGCTAGCTGCTGAGATGTGGAATTGAGGTCGCAGTTGATGGACCGAGATTCGCACGCAGGATTGGTTGGTCTATCTCTACGGATATTCGGGCGACAAGATGAAGAGGGATTCTAGAAAGTATTTAATCGCCTTGGACCGCGCAGTACAGTGTGGTAATGGTGGTTGGTGCTGTAGGGTGTTCAATCCTAGATATGAATATGACAATCGATTTGTACTCAAATGGCCCAGCTGCAGAAGCCTCCCACTCCGTAACAAGAACATGAAGTATCATCAATCGGCCGTATAGCTTCCATCCCGCTGCTGGGCCTTATGCTCGTCCAGCTAACCCGGCTTAGTTGGATGACACAGCATGCACAGCACGGTACATGGAGCCGCATCTGCTGTCAATCTGCTGCTGAAGGCCTCTCACACACCAATTGCAAGCTAGTCTATCCCTGGCTGCCTCACAGCGCATGCGAGCCTGCGGGTGTGTGAAACGGAAGTCACGAAATCCTTGTACTCAGAACACTCGCAAATCCGGTGATATTAGCCCTAGAAGATGCATAAGTGGAGGGTATTACGCAAGGCCCTCTACTTATTACCGGCTTGTCGATAGCGAAGGTAGCCCAGGGAAATGCCTTTCTCCACAGGACACACTTCATGAAGGCAGTGCGAAGCTTTTGCAGCAGCGACGAATTATGCACACCTAGGCACACGCACGCCGTACGCGCCACTTAGGCTATCTAATACCGCTAACTAATGTTAATGAAGCTGGTGATTTACAGGAATGTGACCGGGTGCTTATTATCGGTACTGCGGCCGGCTTGCAATTGCAGCATGTAGCGTCGATGTTGTACGTATTTCTCTGTCGTAAAAGTGCTTTTAGGGAACAGATAAATCCTGGTTACTGCGTTTTGCACAAACAAAATAAGGTTTGAAATTTATTCTTATGTTGATATCAGCGTATTGCCGGGCCGGAAGATACGCAAGGTGTTATCGCCGCGTATTCGGATACAGGAACGCCTGGGAAGCCAGCCCGCGCAACGTACCGAGGATTTGTGACGTGCTACAGAAGCTTAACGTGCTTGGCAAGCTTTGTATTAATCAACTAGCCGTTAACAGCTCCCGTGATTGGTTTACATTTGAGACAAACGACGACCCGAAGGACGCAGGAAGCTAATCGTCATACAAGACTGCAGTTCCGTGATTAAAAAAGGTGCCGATGTTTTTGCTTATGGTATTGGAGTGAGCCTGCGTGTAAAAACTGTCCGCGAGTTCAGGACGTACGCACTGCCGGAGGCGGACATAACCTGCTTGAATGCTGGCTTTGCAGTGTTCGGTAAGAATGGAGCCTCGACACAGAATAAAGTTTTTTGTTACACAGCTTCGCTTGCGTGCGTGACATTATTTCTTACGCTTTAATACCTTCCGAGATAATAAACAAATTTTCTCGCGAATGAAGTGCAGCAGCCCTTGCGCCTCGCCAAGCCCTTGCCAGGCAACGGGACTCTTACACTCCGAATTTATTTTCCTGGGCATCCAAACAAATTCAAGGGGCACACTATGAGGTTCTGCGTGAGTGTCCACGGCGGCAGCAGCGTTTAATTCCGCCTTTCCCACCCACGCTCTTACGTACGCGCGCTTATGAACGCATGCCCAACCCGATGCAGCCTCAATATATTTAAAGCAATTAATCCAACTAGGTAGCAGTTGAACAGCTTCTTTTGGGGTCCATGCAAGCAGCAGCACCTGTGCTTACCTTCCCCACCAGATGGCGACAACAACAGCAGGTCAGCTGCATCACCACGTACACCAACCCCAGCAGCAGCAGCACCTGCTGCTGGTGGCGGAGGCTGATGACACCGAGTTCATGAACTTTCTTCAAACGATAGCTCACGAGACGACGGAGCTCGGTTTTTCCCAGCAAGATGAACTCCCAGCAAGATGCTACAATTCAAGTGCTGCTGCAGCACCACCTTGCCAATCTCAAGCCCAACTGGACATCTGCACCAGCAGCAGCAGCTCGCCACACCACACGGCAGGTTTCGTTCCGGAGGGCAAAGCCTTGTGTGATCCGTGGGCCAGCAGCGACCTGCACACCGCCGCTGGCCTCAGCTATAATGGCTTCGGGAGCTTCCAGCCGCAGCCACCACTGCCGCAACAACTGCAGGTCCTGCACCAGTATCAGCAGCCGCCACAGCAACAGCAACAGCAGGCTCAGCAGCACCACCATCATCATTATCAGCAATACAACCAGCAGCAGCAGCAGCAGCAGCTGTATCATCTCAAATGTCATCACCATGATCATCATCATCATCATTATCCTCCTCCTCCTCCTCAGCAGCAGCAGCAGCAGGTATGCAAGGGGTGTTCATCCAGTCCCCCACAGCACTCAGTTACATCCTCCGCAGTGTTCACACCAGTACAACGTTTTCACACTGCTGCTACAAGTTCTTCCCCCGTATCGACGGCGGACTGTTGTTGCTGCTACAGCCACTACCGGCGGGAGGCATCTACATCTGGTACCATCAGCACTACTGCTGGTGATACTACTCCTGGTACTGCTGCCGGCACTACTGGTACGGCTGGTACTGGGACAAGCATTGATGGTATGGTTGGCATGTCTGGTACTGCTGGTAGCCATTGTGGCAATACTGATGGAAGGGCCGCTCGCACCACTGCCACAGCTGCTGGGAGCACCACCGGCACCATCAGCGTCAGCATCATAGAGGAAAGGCAGCTACAGCCGAGTCTGAGAGATTGCAACAGCAGCCTTTTGAGCTCGGCTTATCAGCACCATCTAAGCCGTACCCAGAGCCACGACCTGCTAGACCATGCATGCAACGCTTTAAGTCCGCCACTACCACCCTCACCGCGACAGCCGCCGCAGCCAGCGCCCTCTGCCGCGGGTTTCCGGCAGCCCTACACCGCCACCTACCCGCATTCACTAAGCGTAGCTGGGCCCTGTCACCATCAGCATCTCCAAGGGAGAGAACACCTACAGAACCACCAATTCCGGCATCTCAACCATTTGCACCAGCAGTTTAGGCATCACTGGGGGCCTAGTAGCGCCAGCCTGAGGCCTTTCAGTGCACCTCAACCTCAGCAGCTTACCATCCAAGAGGTTGGGTCCAATAGGAGTTTCAGCAATAGCGACGAAGGCGGCCGTCCTGCTACTGCTGGGTGGTCCGTCCAGCAGCCATATCAGCAGCAGCAGCAGCAGTCACCGCAAACGCAATGCATGCATGTGGGTCATCCTTATGGACGCATCGGCTCACCAGCAGCAGGCTTGCCACACTCGCTGGTTAGGCAGGCTTCCCTCCCCGCTACTGCTACTGCGGCAGTTGCAGCATGCATTGCTGCTGGTTGCAGTGCTGGGAGTGATGGGCGCCATCGTGGTGGTACTTATCGGATTATGGAGTCAATTCATCCGCAGCTACAGCAACAGCAACTGTCACAGCAGCAGCAGTCATATACACAGCAACAGCAGGAGCTGGCACATTTAATGCTACCACCATCACAACAGCAGCAACAGCAGCAGCAACAGCAGCAGCAACAGCAGCAGCAACAGCAGCAGCAACAGCAGCAGCAACAGCAGCAGCAACAGCAGCAGCAACAGCAGCAGCAGCAGCAACAGCAGCAGCAACAGCTGCAGCAGCAGCAACAGCAGCAGCAACAGCTGCAGCAGCAGCAACAGCTGCAGCAGCAGCAACAGCTGCAGCAGCAGCAACAGCTGCAGCAGCAGCAACAGCAGCAGCAACAGCAGCAGCAACAGCTGCAGCAGCAGCAACAGCAGCAGCAACAGCTGCAGCAGCAGCAACAGCAGCAGCAACAGCAACAGCAGCAGCAACAGCAGCAGCAGCAACAGCAGCAGCAACAGCAGCAGCAACAGCTGCTGCAGCAGCAACAGCAGCAGCAACAGCAGCAGCAGCAACAGCAGCAGGAACATATACAGGTCCGACAGGAGCAGGGTCCACAGCTGCAACAGCGAAAGGAGCAATTACCATTGCTGCAGTCCTTCAGCAGCAGCTCCTACGAGCAGCAGCGGTGTCATCAACAGGGCGACCACGTTCAGCATTGCAACCAGCTGCAGGACAGCAAATTCCAGCAGGAGTACAGCACCCAACAGCAGTACTTCAACAGCCTCAAGGCGAGGACATCATCGCAACGTGGATTTGGGGACAATGGCAGTGAACACCAAGGACCTGATGTACCACCGGCATGTGGCCACCAGCAGGTGAATACCTGGCCGTGTTGTGGTGTGCCCGCCCAGTCAGATGTTAATACCTCCCTACAACGCATTTACAATAAAGATTGTCTAGTGTAATTTTAGTATATACTATGCGAGCGAAGCCGGGGACGGACCCGGACCCCACTGAACAGCTGTAATGCATTACTAGTGACCCAGGGATGATGATGATGATGATGATGATGATGAAACGCACCACCTGAATTGTGTTGCCTGAAAGCCGGGTCGGCACATGGCATCCGACGACCCGCCAGCCAGGGACAGTTTCATCATCAGGATCCTATCCTGGCAACACGGATGTACATGTAGTGGGGTCCGCAGGCGTACGAGCAAGCAAGTTACGTGTGCGCGCACGGGCAAGGTACTTGTGTGGCTAACAGCGACTCCAGAGTTATATCTTCCCTCTAGGTTTGTTTGTTTCCATCTTATCAATCTTTGTGTATGTTGCATGTATCTTCTGCCAATGTACTTCTGCGTGCAGGTACCGGTGTTCCTCCAACGAGGAGCTGCGTGTACAACCCAAGAGCAGAGCAGCAGGAGGCGCTTGTACGACTCGAGTACACGGGCAACCCACGGGTCGTCAACACCGCGATACCGTGATCGGCGCAGGGTACGTATGACAATTTTCTGTACAGCAGCAGGGCTTCAGACAGCGTCTATCTATCTATCTATCTATCTATCTGTCTATCTATCTATCTATCTATCTATCTATCTATCTATCTATCTATCTATCTATCTATCTATCTATCTATCTATCTATCTATCTATCTATCTATCTATCTATCTATCTATCCATCCATCTAAATATAGCCACCTCAGGCTACGTGCTTTGCATGCTTTGTGAGTATTTCATACTCGCCGGGTGGAGTGAGCGGCATGCATGCTATGACCCGCGGGGGCCCCAAACTACAAATGTCACAAGAATAATAGTTAGACAACAGCATGGGTGTACGCCAAAAGCCATCACTTACTAACTACGTTGTAGTTTTCCCTTCTACAACCCCGGTACTCATAAGAAGCCCTTTGGCCTCTAGATACTGTGCGTAGCATCTGACATACGCACCGCCCTTTGGACGGTTTAACGGCCCTATGGCATAAAACGAGGGGTAACCCCCCTTAAGCATAACCCAGGGGTTAGGGGTAGGGGTAAGTGGTTACCCATGTGGCTATGTACGAAGGGAGGTGGGTAAAACCTAACCCCGGGGTAGGGGTAACCCCTTACCAAGGGGTAACAAAGGGGTCGGGGTAATATTGTACTAAGGGGTAACAGACAGGGTGACCCGCGGGTCTTCCCTACAGGGTGGTGTGCGTACGACGGTGTCTGCTCAGCCCAGGTGGAGGGGTGTGATGAGATTTGCTGGAGAAATCCAAGGAGGAAAACCACGTATGATTGCGTGTGTGTATGTGTATACCGTAGTGCTACTTATAGTTCGTGATCGCTTTGTTCGGGGAGGGGTCAAAACATTTTCTGAAATTTGTATTACACCTCGGTTGTGTTTTCCGGATAGCTGCAACGAGTGCACATACAAGCCAGAGGCCCAAGAACCTAAAAGCCACAAGCTAGGAAAGGGACATCATGCAACGCAAAAGTCCTAACATCCCCAAAGCAATATACACAAGGGAAACAAGGACAGTAATTAACTACGACCGCCCGTGAAGAGATATGACCGTAAGCCAAACGCTGTGTACCAGGTGGGCCAGTTTTGGGCACTAGCTTCATATTAACTACAAACACGCTCTCAAAGCGCTCGACCAGCATCTCGACAGGCCAGTTGCATGTGTTTGGGGGGAATGCCCTGCTTATGAGATGGCTTGATGGCTGCAAAGTATGCAGTGAACTCGGGTTTCAAGTGCGCAGCATGCGCACCGTCATATGACCGAGGCTCCCCTGCTGGCATCAACTATAGCTTCCTCCCGGAGGTCTGGGAGACTTGGGCACGCAGCTCCGCTCCGGCGCGTTGCGCTCTAACGCGGCCGGGAGGACGTCGACAGTCGCCCCACCGACACCGTAACATTAACTTCCATGAGCGGTCCACGGCGGCCCCCTAAGGCTTTGACGGACACCTCCGCACTTGTGCAGACACTGTATCTGTCTAGCTGTAACAGTAACTGTAACTGTCTAGCTGTAACAATAGACTGTTGCATGCATGCATGCCGCCATCGATTGATATGGTCGGTACAAGTTACAAGTTACAAGTTCCGCACGCAAGTGCGGGTGTGTCCGTAAAAGCCGGGGGAGGGGCCCATGGACGTTATATTATGTATTGATGCGGGTATATGGGTATACGGGTACACGGGTACACGGGAGGCCATCATCGTCCTCCCTCGTTCGCTTCAGGGCGAAGCGCCCCAGCGCGACGTGCCTGGCCTCCCAAATGTCCGAGGGGTGGCGCCTCAGTCATAATGGTGCGCATGCTGCGCCCCGCAAAGACTAGGTCACCTCTAACTCCCAACAGCCCAACCGGCAACGCATGAGCACTTGATGAAAACGCTGGGGCATTGTTGCTTCAGTGTGCTCCAACCAATTGAGACGCGCACCCCTAGGCGGGGCCGCTTTCATCCAGTTCATATAGCGATAAGCCTTGGCTCTGGTGATCCCTATGGGGAAAACGCGGGGGTCACCCAAGGTATTCGGACACTCCCACCGTGCATCAAGCCGCTTGGCAAATACTTTAAGAATGCTCTCAACTGGCAAAATAAGGGTGGCGTAATGCGCTATGAGATCATCATCGCGCGTATTAGTGGGGGTTTCCGCTCCCAAGCTAGTAAGAAAGGCCAGTACCTTGCTTGTCCAGCACCCAGTAAGTGCCAATTCCAGGTCAGCGACAAATGCCCGATGACACAGCGTTCCCGGCCTCTTACCCACGGAGCTCCGAAACCTACACACAAGATTGGTCCAATGGAACTGGAGCGGCCTTTGTGACACGATATATTCACGATACATGGAGGTCATATATGACTATGTAGTCGGGCATATGGTCGGTACATATATAGGGCGTGTGTGCATCGCATCTACCAATTGATTGCAGGAGCGGGTTCTGGCGTTGGAGCGGCGCATCAGGGAGCAGTCGGAGACCATCCAGGCACTCCAGAACCGTCTACGAGAGCTGCAGGAGGAGGAGGCCGCCGCGTCCGCGATCAAGATGCCGCCGTCGCCGCTGCTGCAGTCGCCCCTGCCACTACCATCGCCATCGCCTACCACTGCTCAGCAGCACCGCTAAGACGTACCCGCGCAGTGCAGCACTAGGTGCTGCTGCACATGCACACGGCTGCGGACAAACCTAATGTTATTGTTAATCTTAGCAGTAGTAGTAGTAGTAGTAGTGATGACACCAACTTTGGCGGTAGGGTTTGGTGGCGGCACGACTACTGTCGCCGCTGCTGCTGCTGCTGCTGCTGCTGCTGTTACGATAGCTGCAGTGTTGAAATAAGCTGCAGCTTCTCTCGGCTACTGCTGCTGCTGCATCAATTGTGCCAGCAGCAGCAGCAGCAGCAGCAGCAGTACACAAGTAGCAGATACCTTCCTTCAGCTTAATGATGCCAAGAGAAAGAATGACAATAATAACAATAGCACCTATAATAACAGTTGGTTATGTATGTTGCAGTGCGTGGTGGTTATCTCACCTGCGGCGGCGGTGGCGGCCGGCACGCACAGCAGTGGGCGTGGCGGATGTGCAGTATCCTCACTGGCCACATCACGTCGCGGGATCTACATCCGCCAATCGCCACATGCGTTTTTTGAAGTCGTCGTGATATGACCGGATGGAGCAAACTCACCCCTCCCTGCCTCGAGGCAGGGACGGCGGAGGATTTTTATTATTGTGTGCAGATCGTTATTGCGATTGATAATGGCGACCACTGCGCAGCAGCTGCATACAACTAGCAAACCAGTCACATCAGCAATATTGCTCGAGAAGCGTCAGGTTTTTTTGAGGAACATTATCATCGTAATAATAAATATAATAATCATTCATTGGTTGTTGCCGGCAGCAGCGGCATGCAGTAGCTGCTCGCTCCCTTGCTGCAGTAGCAGAAAATAGCACGGTGCACACATCGTCTGTACATATGCGCTAAGGCGCTCCACCTGCATTTTAATAAGAGTCCTTTTCATCAGCTGAGCGGCCATTTATGACAAGTTGGAACATATAATCCAGCAGATCAAGCTGTATGTGTACATAGGCTCTTGGCGAGATATATATCTGGTTTCATTGTGTGTGTATGTATACGATAACAGATAGCCTGTTTAGGGCTCCCAGAGGTTTTGGTGTGGCGCCTCTCGTGCGGCTCTCGCTTAGTTCGGTTTGCAGTCTTCTGCGCCGCTTTTGTTGCCTAGCCAGGGGCTGGGAGAGCGCCCCGGCTGGCGTGAGTGAGTGAGTGAGTGAGTGAGTGGGGTGCGCGGAGAGGAACAGACGAACCTAGTAGAGCCGCGAGCCCGGCCCTGCGCTGTGTTTCGGCCCCCGGTCAGGGCCCCCCCGGGGGCACCGGCCGGCACCGAGCACCGGTGCTCGTCCTTTCTCAGGACGAGCCGCCCCCAGTGTAGCACCCCACCAACAACAACTTCATATTGTAATTTAAAAAATCAAAAATAACTTCAAAAATTGTTCATCAATGTTATTATTTGCTGCTGCGGGGGGTTCTGCCGCATGGTAAACAGAGCAATGGCAACTTGGATATTTAGCTAATACGTACTCTCTGCATAGTAACATATATACATTGCGTGTGTAATTGCTTGTATGCATGTATGTGCACCTGTGTGTGTTGGACGCATGACTGTTAAAGATACGGTCCATGATTTATTAACTCCACATCCATCGATCGATCCATCCATACATTTCTGAAGTCAAAGAGCCCGCCACCGTAAGGGCCGGATTAGTTGGGGCGAGCATCCGTATGATACGAAGGGCTCACTTACAACCTTTGTAACGCTCTCAGCCTAAGCGAGCCCCACGCACCACGCACGAACGAATTTAGGCCCTTTTCGGTGATATCCAAATTTTTTGGAAGCGCGATTGCGCCCTGTTTTATTGTAATAATTGTCCGTGTTCCTGAATCAAGTACTCGTGTTCTCGCGAGTATCCTTTAGCATTATGTTTCCTCTCGTACCTGGCGGCTTACCGTGGGGCCAAGGCCCACCTAATTCGCCTCCTCATCGATTCGTTACCGTTACGCCTGTGCGTGACGATCTCATCGTCCCGCCGTTACACCTGCCGCTGGTACGTTTGGTCTGTTTTCGATGGATGTCCGTCAGCTTAGTGCGTCCTACGCCTCGGCTCTACTATCACCGCAGGTCTTTCCTGGTAATGTTCTCCCTGCCATGCCTCCGCTTGCTGCGGGCCCTATCCGTCTCCCGAGGTTGGCGCCGCCGCCTTTGGACCCTGTCGCGGCTCTGTATTACTCTGAGTTTACCGGGGACGTGTCAGTGCGGCCGCCGCTCACGGCCGCCTTGCTCTCCATCTACCAGGTGCACCAACGTCAGTGGGTCTCTGAGAGCTGGCGGCGGGTTCAAAGTGCTGCGCGAGAATTTCATGGCTGGTTGCAGCGCCAGTCTCTCGGGCTCACCTTGCTCACCTGCGATCCTATGTCCATTGTTTCGTATCTGGTGGAATGGTGGTTCCCTCGGCACCCTGGGCGTCTGCGGGCAGACCGGCGTCCCAGCGCCAGTGCTGTAAAAGGGGTTATCTCGAGCCTTGCGACTGCCTTTAAGCAGCTGGGCCGGGAAGGGGAGTATGACGCCTCTCAAAGCCGCGGGAATCCCTGCGACAGCTCATTGGTGCGAGGCTATGTCAAGGGCTATGGACGGGACCTTAGTGACGCCGGTTATGTGGAGCGAGGCGCCATCCCCTTGACCGCGGAGAAGTTTCGTCGCCTGGCCTGCCATCTGTGGATTGCGTCCGGCGACGAAGAGCATTTGTTTGCTCGCAGTTTGGTGCTTCGGGACTTGTCTCTATTTGCTTTAATGTGGCATACTTATCAGCGCGGTCATGATGTCGGCAAGCTGGTGTTAAGTGATTTCAGGGATACGGTGCATGGCCGTACCGATTACCAGGGCTGGCCGTTACCCCTACCAGCGCCCGACGGGAGTGTTTCTCCCGACACTGTACTACGCATCGAAGAATTAAATACCAAGACGTACAAGGGTCAGCGTGCTCCTGCGACGGTGTTGCGTCCAGATCGTGATCCCCTCATCTGCGCGCTGCAAGTTCTCGCAGTGTACATGAGCACGTGTACGGGGGCCGGTGCCCCTATCACCCAATACCTTTTCCGTCCAGCGGAGCGCAGTGGCCGCACATATCGGGAGGCGCCGATGACGACCGAGGCCCTGGAATATCGCCTCGTCACTCATCTTACCGCTGCTGGGCTATACGGTGGAGAGACGGTGCACAGTTTTCGTCGGGGTGCTTTGCAGCATGCCCAGTCTCAGGGGGTCTCCGATGAGGATCTCATGCGCTCCGCGCACATCCGCTCTCTGGGTACCCTGCACCGCTATCTGGATCCTACTAGGCATCTCGCCCGCCTCCCGGCCGGCGGGACGGGGACGGGGCTGGTGGTTTCGGAGAGTGATGATGAGTGATACGTCTGTGCATGTTTGGTCCTGGCTCACAGGGGTGGGGAGGGAGGGCGACCTCGACTTTCTCTAGTCTTTCTAGTCGTCTATTTTCTGTAACCTGTCTTAATAAAGCTTAGTTGGTATCTGTTGTCTGACTCTGCATTCTGTGCTGGAATGGCCAAACTCGGACTGTCTCGTCCTGGCATCGGGCCCTCCGTACTTCTGTATTTGGCATTTCTGAAGTCAAAGAGCCCGCCACCGTAAGGGCCGGATTAGTTGGGGCGAGCATCCGTATGATACGAAGGGCTCATTTACAACCTTTGTAACGCTCTCAGCCTAAGCGAGCCCCACGCACCACGCACGGCGTCCCACCCTCCATCCCCCTGCCAACCTAAAACACCCCGGCCACCCGCGCTCCGCGCGCCCCCCTCTCTGCCTCGCCTTACTCCTGCTCCCACCGTAAACTCTCCCCATTTCGTATCTCCAACTCTCTCACTCTCGTCTCCGCGTCCCCCCAACCACCCCCGGGTGGCGCACCCGGGCACCCGTTATAAGTCACCTAAGTTGGCCCCGCATTGCTCCTCTGACTCGTGGTAGTCATCAATTGGGGAACTGGACACTTTCCCCCAAACTGGACTCACACCCTGATAGGTTCCCGCTGCTGTTCGGAAGGCTGCCGCCAGTTGGTCTGCTATCTCTTCGATAAGGGGTGTCAGTCCATCTCGTAGCCTCGCCTCCAGTGATTCGTGCATCCATCGCAGAGATCCTGCCCTACTCGCTAGAACCAACTGTTCCAGCGCGTCCGCCAAACCGATCGCCATAAGTTCTTTGCGCCGCCCCACCAAAGTTGACGGCCATCCTCGGAGCCCAAAAATTCTTCGATTCGTAATGCCACTATCGCTCCTGGGTCTGAGGCCGCGTTGGGCTCGAACGTGCCTCTGAGTGACGTGGCCTTGTCTCTCTGTTTTGCAGCCAACGTCTTTCCCCAAGGCTCGCCAATCCACTTGTTGCCCAACCGGGCCCCTGGATTCGGACCGGATGTCCCTTTCCGCTTGTCTGCCGGCAGTGGATGACCCTTCGGCTCTAGCCTGGCGTATGTCCTCCGATTCCGCCCTCCTGGCCCTAGTCATCCGCCCGGGTTACATATTTTCGTCACTGCCACTCGCCGATTCCCCACTGCTCGGGGAAGCTCACTGCTCCGGTAGTTCTCGGCCAATTTTCCTCCGCTCCCATGGCCGTGCTTTGCAATTTAACAGGGTAACCTTGACTGGCCCCGGCAGTCTAGCGGCCCTCTCTGGTACTTCCGTAGCCTGCATCTGGGCATGCCTTGACCTTTTTGGAGCACCCTTCTCTCCTCGCGGCATCCTTGCTTCTGGTTTCCTGATGGGCCAACCAATGACGTTCGAATCGGCCTTCACCCCTCCTCATACAGAAAGATGCTAATGCCTTCGGCAGCCGCCTAGCTGAAAGACATTCCCAGGCAAGGGTGTTGGGGATGATTACCGCGTTTATTACTGGCTGTCCCACGCCTTCCTCGGGCAACTACCCTTATGGTCTCCATCGGTGGGTCGACCCTTTATGGGGTTTTATGGGTAACAGTAACGGCCTTCTAATAGCTGTGGCTCGTTCTGTGCACCGCTTCGTGTCTGGTACTCCTGGTCCCGTGTCTGAGAC